ACCGGACGAAAGAGGAGGACGACGCCCAAGAAGCCGCACGGCAGTCGTCCTCGACCGACACCCCCCTGAGAAGGGCCGCAGAGGCCGCCATCCCACGCGTGGAATGCGACCTGAAGCCCACCGGGAGGGCCAGACCCTGCGTCTGATACGCCCGCCGCACAGCCGTGGCGACCCAGTGCGCCAGCCGCTGAGCCGACAGCGGGGCGCCCCTGTTCTTGGGGCCCAGACACACAAACAGCTGACCACCCAACCTGAATGACGACGTCATGGCCAGGTATTGCCTCAGCATTCTGACAGGACACAGAAGGTGCCACCGCTCCTCCTCGGGGAAGGCATGCGGTGGCGGATAGAAAGCCCTAATCCTGATGACTCTCGACCTAAAGGCCGACGTGATGACCTTGGGGAGAAAGCCGGATTGGGCCACCATACCACCATGCCGTCGCCCTTTCCAAAGGACAGGCAAGACGCATGGACAGAGAGCGCACACAAGTCGCCCGCCCTCTTAGCAGACGCCAACGCCAACGCCAACAAGAGGGCCGTCTTAAAGCGTCACACTCGGGACTCGCCTCCGCCGCCGGTTCAAAAGGCGGACCCGACAGCCCCCTAAGGACCACCCTGAGGTCCCAAACCGGGGGCGTTCTCTGGAGCGGGGGCCTCCTCCTGCGTGCCCCCCCGCAGAAAACGTTTAACCAACGGATGAGAGCGGGCTGTGAACACCCCGAATCCGTCGTGACCCGAAGTAATGGCTGCCGCGAACACCGCCAAGGTGGCGACAGCCCTCCCCTCGTCAAAGAGCTCCTGTAGGAATCCCAGGACCCCCTCCAACGGGCAACGCCTGGGATCCCAGGAACGAAAACCGCACCAGTCGCTGAAGAGCCTCCACCTCGTGGCGTAGGCCCTCAATGTGGACGGCGCCCTCGCCCCCTGAGTGGTCTCCACCACCGCAGGGGGAAGACCCAGGCCTACGAGGTTCCGCCTCTCAGCCTCCAACCCAGAGCCTGCGGCCGATTATCGGGTGTGAAACAGGGCTCCTCCCCCCCCGGACTAGAGCCCCCGGCTCGTCCGGGAGGGCCCAGGGCTCCATCACCGCCCTGCCCCTCAGGAAGGGGAACCACCGGGCATGCGGACTGTCCGGCGCCACCCGGATCACCGACCTCCTCTCCTGTTCGATCCTCCGCAGCAGGACCGGCAGGAGGCGCACTGGTGGGAAAGCGTACAACAGGCCCCCTGGCCAGGGGTAATGAGCCAGAGCGTCCACGCCTAAGGGCGGCTCGTCCGCGGCCCTTGAGGCAAACCAGGACGGGCACTGTGCGTTTCCTGCACTGGCGAAAAGGTCGACCACTGGACGGCCGAACCTCCGCCAGATCTCCGCAGCTACCCGTGGGGCCAGGCCCCACTCGTCCTGGAGTGGGCCCCCCCCTGGACATCCTGTCAGCCCCCACGTTCCGGACCCCCGGGACGTGGCGCGCCCTGAGAGACAGGAGGTGAAGCGCCGCCCACAGCAGCGTCACCGTCGCCATGCAATGGAGAGCGGGGGACCTGGTGCCCCCCTGCCTGTTCAGATAGGAGACCACTGCGGTGTTGTCCGAGCGCACCAACACGTGTCTCCCCTGCAGCTGAGGGGCAAAGTGCAGCAGTACTCTGTGCACTGCCTCCATCTCCAGCAGGTTGATGTGACGGGCTGAGTCCGACCAGCAGCCTCCTACAGAACTCTGGCCGAGGACCCCGCCCCATCCTTCGAGCGACGCGTCCGTGAACACCTCCACGTGAGACACGGCGCAGGGCAGAGTCACTCCGTCCCGCAATAGACCCGGAGTGAGCCAGAACCTGATGTTCGATGCTGCCACTTGGGGAACCCAGACCAGCCTCCCCCCGTCCCGGGAGGGGTGAAGCCTGAGGCGTGAGAACCACCTCTGAAAATTCCTCATGTGGAGAAGGCCTAGCCGCACCACAGCATGAGCCGCCGCCCTCATTCCCAGCAGGGACCTGAGGCGCCGAGCGGGGACTCTGGGGCCCGCCAGAACCTCCCTGGGCAGACGGGTAGTGCTCATCCGTCTGTCCACGGACAGTGCAGCACGGAATGTCACAGAGTCTAGCTGCAGGCCGAGATAGATCATGCGCTGAGCCGGTTGCAGCCTGCTTCTACGTCATGGTGCTACGTCCCTTAGCGGACTTCGCTAGTGGGATAACACGTGCACCTAATCGTAGAACTTAAATTACAATAGGTAACTATTAATTTTCTCCCTGTTCACCACAGAGCCCAGGCGCTGTATGTGGGACAGGACCCAGTGCGTGTGACACTTCCCTGGATGATGCCAGAATTAACCAGTCGTCTAAGTAGGTTAAAATTCTTACCCCAGCGCGTCTGAGGACTTTTCCACGCATTGGAAAAGTCCGAGGCGCGAGTGCATAAGTACTCGTAATTCCTCTCTCCCACTGCGAAGCGCAGAAACCTCCTGTGTTCTGGCACTATGGGCACGTGGAAGTACGCATCTGTCAGGTTTATGGAGGACATCTAGTCTCCCTCCCTGACACACTCGAGTAGCTGCTTTGTGGGCAGCATCCGAAACTTCCGTTTGGAAAAACACTCGTTCAACACGCGCAGATCCAGAATGGGACGCACCCCGCCTGACTTCTTTGGCACTAAGAAGTAAGGGGAGTACAGCCCCCTGGTGGCGTCCTGCGGGTCTACCTCCACTGCTGCGCCTCGACTCAGCAGAGAGGAGACCTCCGCTTGCAGTGCCTCTATTGATCCCCGTATCTGAGAGCGCACTGCCCGTACACCTCGGAATGGTGGTGGCTTATGGAAGAATTGCAGTGCGTAACCCCTGCGCAATGTTTTCTCCAGCCATATACTGTCATCCAAACCCTGCTCCCTCCAGATGCTGTAGAAGTCTGTGAGGGGCGGAACGGGAGCTGAAACACGAGACGTCACGGCCCCGCCCTCTCCTGGTGTTCCTAGCAGGGAGGGGGGTGGCCGAAAGGGCCGGGGGGCCCCCTGCGTCACACCGTGAGCGCCGGGGGCGGTCACGTGTTCTGCAGGCCCGACGTCACAAGTACGGGACTGCTCACCACACGTGACTCGGCTGCTGTGCCCCCCCCTGGCTCTTGCCTCATGAAGGGGGGGGCGAGCCCCTGGAGAGGGAAACCCCGTGTTAGCCTTGTAGCTCTGCTCACCACACGTGACTCGGCTGCTGTGCCCCCCCCTGGCTCTTGCCTCATGGAGGGGGGGACGAGCCCCTGGAGTGGGAAACCCCGTGTTAGCCTTGTAGCTCAGAGATGCTAACACGCGTTCGGCTGGAGCACACACATTATCACTCACCAGATCCCTCCGCCTGCCCTCTCTCCGGGAGGGCAAAAACATGAACCCGTGAATCGGAGCCCGTGGCCCGCGTAGCACGCTGCACGCCCTTCTCTGGGGGCTGCAGGCCTAGCGGAGCCACGTTATATGCTCGAGAAGTAACACAATCAGAATTCAAATCATTTGACATGTTACATACCCCCAAATGAGACTCAGACAGCGAGTACTGATGAAATGCCGCACGGCTTTTATTGAAAGAATTCTTCCCACCCCGACCTCCTCTGCCATAGGGAGGTCGTCGGTGGGTGCGTTGCTCCCGCGAGCCACCCATGGGTCTGTCTGGACCCGGGGGCCTCGTCGAGGGGGGACGATGGATAACAGAGCGCGGATACGGGTCAGGATGCCTCCCGGGCCAACGTTCTCTGCCTCTGTCCCGGCTCCGTAATGGCTGGTGGGCCTCGCGCCTCGGTGCTAGGTGCGGGGCTAGCCTAGCCGAGTCTTTAGCTGCAGACTCCAGTCTCGCCACCAAGGCCTGCATGTCCGGGCCGACGAGGGACATCTGAGAGGTGGGCAGGTCCAGCAGCTGCCTCCTCTCCGCCTCCCTGATATTAGCCAGCCCAAGCCAAAGGTGCCTGGCCCGACTTGGGCTGCTGTGCTGCATTGGCATAACATCTATCCAGCATCGCCAAGACATCCTGTCCCGCTCGGAGGGAAGGAGAGGTCTGGTGCCGGGCCACACGAATGCGGAGGGCTGCAGGGCCATGCGGACTGAATCCTCGACGTCCTGTCCCGCTCGGAGGGAAGGAGAGGTCTGGTGCCGGGCCACACGGATGCGGAGGGCTGCAGGGCCATGCGGACTGAATCCTCGATCACCGGTCCAGGACCAGTCCTGCCCGCTGCAGTACATGTCGTACCCCAGAGCAGGCCTCTTGGCTGCTAGGGGCTTAGGCCACTCACGTGTCGCGTAATGGACGAACGGGTCCATCCGCGGGCACAACGTGGGTCGCATCCTCCTCCTTCCTCGAGTGGTGGCACCCACCGAGGTGAAGTCCTCCACCGTCTGGATCCAGTGACGACGTCCGACGCCGGAGGGCGAAGGGAACTCGGACGAACAAGGAAGACATCTCAGAATGAAGTAAGTACTGTGGTAGATCTCAAACGGCGCCAGAGTGAAAGAGGGGGTGCGGCCTTGTGCAGGGGCATTTATAGAGGAGGGTGGCTGGTGATTGGAGCAAATTATTTTGATCTCTCTGGCGTGTGACCTGGGGGTCACGTGATATCCCACTAGCGAAGTCCTAAGGGACGTAGCACCATGACGTAGAATTGTCTAATTAGATTTTTTTTATATACAGTCTTTCTCTATCGCGACAACACAAAACCCAGTTCTCTAAACCAAATGACCAGTTGCCTAAACACATTTAATAAAACTACCCCCGCTTTCCACAATCATAAACACAATTCACCTGTAGACACTGTTCACAAAACCCATCCCCTTTTTTTCAAAACTCTAAACACATTTTGCTTTTGCTAAAACACATTTGGCATGTATCTCTGCTCCAATATGCATTGTGAAGCTCATGTGATGCAAAATGCCTCCCACAGTCAGCAAAACCTGAACACAATGAATAAACTTGGTGTCATTCAGTAAACACAACCACTCAGAACTGTGCAGTTTGATGAAGGTTCCAAACAAAAATGGATGATCAAGGCAGAAGAAGAGGAGTTTGTGTCAGAAGAGGGAGAGGAGCAGATCAAGGAGGGAGAGGAGCAGGCCAATGAGGGGGAGGAGCAGGCCAATGAGGGAGAGGAGCAGGCCAATGAGGGAGAGGAGCAGGTCAAAGAGGGAGAGGAGCAGGCCAATGAGAGAGAGAAGCGGGTCAAGGAGGGAGAGGAGCAGGTCAAAGAGGGGGAGGAGGAGGTCAAGGAGGGAGAGGAGCAGGTCAAAGAGGGAGAGGAGCAGGTCAAAGAGGGAGAGGAGGAGGTCAAGGAGGGAGAGGAGCAGGTCAAAGAGGGAGAGGAGCAGGTCAAGGAGGGAGAGGAGCAGGTCAAAGAAGGAGAGGAGCAGGTCAAAGAGGGAGAGGAGCAGGTCAAAGAGGGAGAGGAGCAGGTCAAGGAGGGAGAGAAGCAGGTCAAGGAGGAGGAGGAGCAGGTCAAAGAGGGAGAGGAGCAGGTCAAGGAGGGAGAGGAGCAGGTCAAAGAGGGAGAGGAGCAGGTCAAGGAGGGAGAGGAGCGTTGTCTGGCTATTTGGACAATATTGCCTGTGATGTTGATGAGGTCCTGTGGCCCGACCCAGCCCGATGACATGATGCCGCCCAATGATTTCAGTGTCAACATACTGTACAACATACAGTACAACATACTATAATAAATAAAATGAACATGTGCTTTCTTTCTGTACTGTGGTATCTATTGTGTGTAATTGTTACTGTACTGTAGTATCTATTGTGCGTCATGGATCCCATGGAGTTACTCATGTTTGCATTGAGTTGTGATATTATTATTATTAAACTTTATTACAGACACAAAGTCCAGATAAGAAAGACATTAGACAAAAACAAAAACAAATATAATCAAAAAAAAGCATAGATGATTACAGCAGACTATTGTACCAGTAATGCCACAGTTCAGACTGATAGCGTGTGGCACTGATTCTGATGTTGGTCAGGCTCATTATGATCACATTCTGACATTGATTCAGTCAACAAATACATCTGTACATCAGGTTTCTTAGGACAGCACGAAAAGTTAGAATCCCAGAAGAAACAAATAATAGGCTGGCACTCTCCCACCGAGGCCTTTTCAACAGGATTCTTAGGCAGTCATTGTATGCCACATTTAGCTTCCGCATGCTGGATTGTCTATAGTTTGACCACAGATGTGTCGTATATAACGGTGTACAATAAGCTTTAAAAAGTGTCTTTTTCACTTCATCTGTACATGCACCAAACCTGCGCACAAGCCTATTGGCCTGTGCATACAACATGCGGCACTGCCGTAACACATCGTCATCGTCAGACAGGTTATCAGTAATAAAATGTCCCAAGTACTTATATTTGTTACTCAATTATTTCCACACAATTTAAATTGGGGAAACTTCAAGATTTTGTCATCTCTGCAAATCATTATGACACTCTTGCTGGCATTATATTTGATGTCATATTCCAGACCATACTTGGAGCAAACATGAAGAAGTTCTTGGAGGCCAGCACTGCTTGGACTCAATACAACAACATCATCAGCGTGCATTAGGTCATTTACAAGAGTTGAACCAATCATACAGCCAGTCCTACATGCATTCAACCATTGTGACAATATGTGACAATATAACTGCATTGTGTAAATATTCCCATGAAACGCACAAATCTATAGTAAATGCCCAATACATATTTGAGAATATATAAGTGTTGCTCAAATGCATCCTGGCAGTTATGAAACTGTAAAAAAGAACAGTCTCAAACTCTGAAAATTGTGTTTTCAATTGTTTTGGTAATGTGGTTAATGATGCTCAGTAGTGTTTACATTTTTGCAGGCCTTAAGAGGTATTTTGGAGTCAAAGTTTACTTTTGAGAACATGAGTAACTGTTTTGGTGTGATGGGTCGGTTTTGAAAAGAGACTGTGAGGTTGTGTGTATGTAGCTTTAGCAAAGTGGTTTGTGTTTAGAGTTCTGTGAAAAGGGAGGGCAGTATCGTGAAATGTGTTTAAGCAATAGAGAAAAACTGTAAAATAACAAATTTTGTGTAAAAATAGAAAATTAAAAAGGTACTTAATTAAAGCACATACTGTATATAGTTTTGTTTTAAGTATTCTGACATCACAATTGTGTCATTCTTTTTCTTACTAATGATGAAACACGAGACCCATGAGGAGCCGGATGTGAGCGTCACTGAAGCATCCCTCTCCTGTCGCCATGGAAACCCCCATCCCCCCACAGCCCCTCCCTATCCCATCCCCCGCTCATGCCACTCCCTGTGTGTGCTCCAGTCTGGGCTTGGACAAGGATAGTCCTGCTTTAGACCTGGGATAGTCTTGCTTTAGACATGTGAGATAGTCCTGCTTTAGACTTAGGATAGTCCTCTTATAGACATGGTTTAGAACTGTTTTAGATAATAGTACTGTTTTAGACCTGGGATAGTCCTGCTTTTAAGATCTGCTTTAGACCTGTTTTAGACCTGGAATAGGCATGCTTTATAGTCTTGTTTCAGATCTGATTTGAACCCGCTTTAGATCTGCTTTAGACCTGCTGTGGACCGGCTTCAGACCTGCTTTAGTCCCGGAATAGACACGCTTTAAAGCTGCTCTGGGATGGTCCTGATTATGACTCTGGAAAACAGTCTTGCTTCATACTATATCATAGGCCATATATTAGGAGTGGACTCTAGAGTGCTGATGTCAACCATAGAGTTTGAGCCAGATGCAGAAGAAGCCGATTTGAACATAAGCTAGCTGGAAAGAAGATTACATTTCAATGTAATACAATAGGAACCAGAGCAAGTTGGATCAAAACTTTATTAATGAGCAGTTCTCTCTTGGCCTTCATCAAGGGAATGGGTGAGAATTGGCCATACAGTCTATGGTACAGACCCTCTGTATGAATAATCCAATTTGTTACTCAAAGTCAAAGGAAATATTCTAAAGATTATGTTTAAGAGCCAGCATGACCACAAATGATGCTGAATTATTTAAATTCATTTTAAGTACATGTAAATAAGTTGTGTCCTGTCCGACTGGTCTACAACTGGTCTCAATGTGGACTTAGCCAAGTCTGAACCAGGTCTCTCAGATGACTCACTTTTTGAATAATTGGCGATTATTGCGAAGAGGCTTAGAAGTTCTTTTAATAAGACAACAAAAGTAAAGAAAGCTAGTACTGCTTAATTACCTGACATGTTTCGGCGGTAGACTTCCGCCTTCGTCAGAGGTGACACGTGATGGTGTGCCGTGTCTCTTATCAGCTGTTGTTGCCGGATGTGGCCAACAACAGCTGATAAGAGATGCGTTTTTTGTCTTAATAAAAGAATCTTTTAAGCCTTAAACAAAAGAAGACAAAATTCACTTTTTACATTTATTGCCAAGAGGGTTTCTTAGTATCATTCCAGGTGCAATCACAGTGTTGGAATGATTTTACTTCAGACAGAAGGCAGAAACCATCTCCAAACCAGGCGGACACAAGTGAGCCAATCAAAAGCTGTTCAAACCATGCCACTCAAAAGCAAATGATTAGTCGGAATTCAATTACATTTCCTCATTATGTGCCAAAATCTCTCAGTTTGACTGCCTTTTGAAGCAGTTCCTTTTTGCTTGATTTGCTTTCCTGTGAGGTTCATAATTTAATAGTTTTGAACACCTTAATGCAGCAGCAGAAAAGGCAGATGGAGCCTTTTGCACTTTTTTCATCTTTTTCACAACATTTGGATCTGCTTTAGTTCTAGATTAGACAGCTATTATTTTCTCTATATGTTTATAAGTTACTCATATTCATATATTTATTAGATTTCAAATCTCAATATTGCTCTAAAGCACTGTAATAAAAGAGACGGGGTGGTGTACTTCCGTATTCAGTCCCACAGCATCACTATGTGCTTGCAGTTCTCTCAAAGAGCAAAATTTGAGCTCTCATTTGAGAAAAAATGCTTCTAGAATCATCACAATGGCATAAATGCAAAGAAAATAGGCAAATAAAGTACAGTGGGCGTGGAGCCAGAGGGGAGCGATGGCAAATGTAAGGAAATATGAACAAAACATGAACAAAACATGCAATCTGAAGGATTCAGATTGAGATTCATTTATTTGCCAATTGCAGTAAAACCACATCGGAATACATCCATAAAAGTCCCCAGTGCGCACAAGACAGTTTCTGCCCACTGTGTGCGTTGCCGTTTGCGCTGGATCATCCCGGATGCGTGGTTGATTACGCAACAACAGTTGTTCGTATACTCAAGCGTACCCCCCGAGATGTTGTATTCCCACACCCCAACCACATAATGGTGATCTTGCAGGAATTGCCTGGGACACCAAAGCGGGTCCCATAATAAAGTTCCGCTCTTTCTCCTCTTCAGAACAAAAACAATGGCAAAACAAGCTTGAGTTTGAGATCAATGAAGAAATTGTCAGAATATCATTAAATCTGTATTCTAGGTTTGTGTGACAGTACTATAGACTCATTATTTCATAACTAAATTCAACCATGATGCTGTAAACAAAGACAGTTTTTGTTGGAACAGATGGGTATTATTAAAGTGTATTTGTGCACAAACAAGCGAACAAGCATTATGTAACTATTCCCATGAAACGCACAAATCTATAGTAAATGACCAATACATATTTGAGAATTAATAAGGGTTGCTCAAATACATCCTGGCAGTTGTGAAACTGTAAAAGAACAGTCTCACACTTTGAAAATTGTGTTTTCAATTGTTTTGGTAATGTGGTTAATGATGCTCAGTAGTGTTTACATTTTTGCAGGCCTTGAGAGGTATTGCGCTGTCAGAGTTTACTTTTGAGAATATGAGCAACTGTTTTGGTGTGAGGGGTTGGTTTTGAAAAGAGACTGTGAGGTTGTGTGTACGTAGCTTTAGAAAAGTGGTTTGTGTTTAGAGTTCTGTGAAAAGGGAGGGCAGTATTGAGAAATGTGTTTAAGAAATAGAGAAAAACTGTATTAGCAGTAAGCATAGCATCGTACAGGCCAGTTTTGCGTTCATATGTAAATAGACAGCGATGTAATGAGCAGATGAGCCTCTCAGTGTAAATGTGTGCTTATTACGGTGCTTCAGCGGGATTAGTCACAGCTCACCGGACTTTATGGATTCACCGCACCAGGCTTGACTCGTCCGATAAACCAATTTACACTCCAACAGCAGCCTGTTTAACCCGGCTCACCAGTCAATGCTTGTTCACGTGCCCCGGACCAGTCATTGCTGACAGATGGAAACAATGGCTCCAAGCTGCATTGGATTCTCATTTACTTTGTGGGGTTTCTTAAGTGGCCAGAACAATATTATCCAAACTTTTTTCTATTATATTGATCAATCTTGTTTTGAAAAGTGCATATTGTATTTATTTGAAACATGTATATACAGACATGTGAATTCATTTGAATTAAAAAAAAGGAGTTAAAGTATAAACTTAAATAGTCCCATCTCTTTTTCACAAAATATTGTTTTGCTCTAGTTATTTGTTCCACATTCCCTTTGCTTTTACCAAAATCAATTTACATACACTTATCACCATTTATTAGTGTTGTCCAAAATCACGTTAACACAAATCAAAATTAACGGCAAAAATTTTTTATCGCAAGAGTAATTTGCGTGGCCTACTTTACATGTAGTTTTTTTAGCTGTGGCCTTGTAGGGGCGTTGCCCGGCTCC